CTGGATCTCTCAGAAGTCAGCAGTCCTAATCTGCCAGGATTAGCATAAGGCCCGGTAACGCCTGCAATGTCAACTCAGGAAAAGCCTTAAGAAAGATCACAAAAAATGTTAGAACAAAATATCCAGTGAAATGGAGGTAGCGTCTGCATCAGTTTATAGTCAAAGACTGTTTAACTTAATACACAGCACCCGGGGGTTATTGTCTATCGGTCAGTGAGACCATTTGCGATAAACATGAACAGATATCAGCAACAAAGAAGAACGAATTGGTCGCTGGGCAGAGTATTTTGTTGAACAGTTCCATTGATCAAATGCTGATGCGATCATTCCAGCGATTGCGGGGGAAACTCCATGGGTGGTAAAGTGTGAGCCCCCATCAGAATTAGAAGTACGAAGTTACATTCAATCATTAAAGAAAGGCAAAACAGCCCAACCTGATGGGCCTCTCCTCATTCCTTTTAAGGTGGGCAGTGATTCCCTTGTATATCTGGTTACTAGCTTACTTCGCAGCCTTTAGTTGGGGGACTGTAACCCTTCTTCCCAGGGGAAATTGTTGATCGTCCCAACCTTAAAGAAGAGATCACGCAACGACTGCGCCAATCACCGCGGGATTAGTTTAGTTCCAATAATCACGAAAGTGTTGACCTATGTGGTACTTCGCCACCTGATACCCNCAGGAAGCCAGATTTCGACCGGATGGCAGTCACAAATCTCCACTTTGAGTCAATTTCGCGAACCGCGTCACACACATCATCGGCCAACCATCGTAGTATTCCTTGATCTAAAAGCAGTCTTAGATTAGGTTGACCATGAAGCTTTTCTGGGGTCGCTATTTGGTAAAAGTATGCCACGGAAGCATGTGAACCTATTGCGGTCAATGTGCCTGCATACTTCTGGTAGCGCAAGGGTCTACGGTGGACTAAGTAAATCGTTCAGAACCATGAGCGGTCTTCGTCAAGGGTGCTCTATTTCGCCATTCCTGTTCAATTTAGTCGTAGGCGAAATACCGGAGAACGCACTCGTTAGTCTCCAAAAACGTTGGTATTAAACGCGCAATTGGAGAATCGTTTGCCTGTTCGAGTGGATGGTGGATGCGCAAAGCGCTCTTGAAGGACTAGCAAATTCCGTAACTCCTTTCGGCATGAGCTTTACATCTTCAAAGTGCAAAGGGATGCTACAAGACTGAGTGTCGTCTACCTCAACGCTGATGCTTGATGGTCAATAATTAGTTATGGTGGAATGTTTTACCTACTTAGGTAGCTGCGTTACAAACGACGGTTGCACAGTCAATGAAGTAACTGCCCTCATTTCTAAACTTCGAGCAGCTTACGCAAGACTGAAACACCTTTGGTGCAGAGTCAATGTTTCGTCAAAGGTCCTGTATGCTGCGCAGTGTGCGGTCGGTTCTGCTCTATGGTTGAGCGAACCTAAATGTGCACATGGAAGATATTCGTCGTGTAGAAGTCTATGACTGCCATTGTTTACGTATTTTGGCACGGGTTGGATGGAGCGAGCGTGTAAGCAACTCTGAGGCAAGGCGTATTTAGTAATGATTTGATGGAGAATTCGTTGCCCCATTGAATTCAGATTAGTCGGCTTTGGTGATTAGGACACGTATTGCGCATATCCAGCTATCCGCTGTTGCACCGCGCCTTATTTGCAGTTGCGGCTCCAGGATGAAAGAAACCGCGTAGAGGTCAACAGATGACGAGGAAGCGAGGCATGAAGAAATGTCTCCTGTCTTCCAGGTTCTGATCCGAAGGACTTTGCAACTGGCTGGCTGGAGACACTGAACAATATTGCAATTAACCGACAGCAGTAGCGTTCTTGTTTTCATTTCTTATCAGTTCATAACGCTTGAAATAAGGTATTTGTGCACACTTAGATTGTGTACTCCGTGTGTTGATCATAGAGGTACACTTTTTGTCTCCTTGGAATTAGGCCCAATTCCTCTCCATCGTGTGCTTTATCACTTGATTTATGTACATTGCGAGCTTGGCAGCAACCACTGAAGTTATCTTCACTGTATCTCGCTTTATGATGGTGGTGATGATGCGACGCTAGGGATCAGGTCAAATTTGCAATATTACCGTAAGAGCAGAGCAAACCATTAACTATACTGCACCCTCTTCCTAACAAAATCCCCGCTACCCTGGCCTTCGATATTGAAACGATAAAGCATGCATGGCTATCCGATTAGACCGAAAGTGTATTCTCAACAGTTTTAGTGAACCGAGGATTTCACCAAGCGTTGTTTGCCTCAAAGGATATATACTTCTAGGTTGTGTAGTATCTTAAGTCTATACTAATTACAATCAATTATCTTAAATATCCCAGTCCTCAGGCTACTCCTGAGGGTGACTTTAATGACGTGCTTATTGCAATTTATACTGATTCTCACAGAAAACCATCGCTACTGTACTATATTTGCGTAGTACATTCGCTATTACGATGAACCATTCAACATTCATCTATCTGAGAAAAATCAACAACTGATGGTGGCGGCGCAGTGGTTTAGTTGCTGTCACAGGCGTGATTTGTACCCCATGGTCCAATCGTTGAGCCCCGCCACCGCCACCCAACTTTGGCGGTACACTGCTTTGCTGTCGTCCGATTTAACACCACGCCTAATCTATCGGGGCTTCATGTGGTTTTCCACCCCAAGTCCCGGGGCTTAGGTTGCCGGTTTCCACTACTGAACAGCAGCTCCTCGTAACAATGGGATTCGCCCTGTCTGTTATTCATCACACGTGGGTGTGTAATAAAAAATACTAAATGAGAAACATATTCGGAACTAATGGGAAACACGGGAACACGGTGTACGTTTTAAGTGTGAGAAAATCCCACATCAATACACAGAAGTCATTCTTAAAACATTGCTCCATGCTTTCTGCCCAGCGGTGCAGTAGTTTTGAGTGTGTTTTGTGTGGAAATGAATACAGCTCATATGTTTATCATGAATCGTATGAGCAATAATTTCTGTGACATTTGAAATGCCAAGTAACTGTTTTTTTTTAGTGCAGTGACTGAAGGTGATAATGTCTTTAGTCAACTTTATATCCTTATGTGATGTGCACATTGCAAGGTAATAAGGTAAGTACGACATGCCATCCGGAATTTACACAAGCGGCCTCTGACAACCAAATCTAGCTTTATCACAGCGATCAAAGCAAGGTTGAATAAACCCTTCCAGTCGCTACCCTACCCTAAGTAATCAGTGAAATTACTTATTACTTGCGTGAAGATGTGTATCAACTGGAACTACAGTGACACGATTCAAGGTTCAATACCTAACTATTTTTCCATCCCAGTCCAAACTCCGACTCTTCCATCGGACAGCAGCGTTGAAGATACGTTCAAAAGTTAGTTATTGAAGTTTCCATACGTGCCTGGAATAAATGAAATTAACCACAATAATGGATGGTTAACTATAGCATTAGAGGCCAAAGCTGCGTGATTGAAAAAATAATGCATAGTAGCAGTAATTGTTCATCAAAAGCACGAGGTTGCAATGTGCTAAAATACTTAGCATTCAAATGCTCATTCATTAAATAATTGTACTACCCTCTCAGACTGGATTACTTCAATTGGAAACTATGAGCACCACCCGTAGGTAGAAAGAATCCAAGACAATGACGAAACAGACCACAGGCTCTTACGGGTTTGATTCAAACTTCACGCTGCACTAATAAAAGCCCATTTCCTCAAAACACTGGAGGTCACGTCAACTAGAGAGCAATTAGGGATACAAGACGCCGAAGAATGCGATTAGGATACAGATATACAACGGTATCCCTGGAATGAATGTGCGCATATAGCTTTGGGTTGAGCCAGGGTAGATCATATGAAGTTCTGTAGTATAAAAGCTTCCGCGCATCAACTGAACATTGGTGTACGTTACCAAAAGAACTTGACTTCGGATAGGTAAATTGATACAACCTTGCGGTCTCACGGCTATCTATCATTCTCAACTGATTGAATTCTTATGTGGTTTACCATTCCAAGTCTCAGAGATGGGTTTCCGTTCTTCTCTCGCACCACAAATTAACAATACAACCCACACCATTCACAGAATGCGCACTCTATAGCCCTCACTAACATTCATATTTTAAATATAAATGTTAGTTCTTAAGACCACTTTCTTCAATCTTCTTCAACCCTGTTGCGTCCCAAATTAAGTGGGTATATGAGCACACAACGAATCAAGCAGTGCGTTTATTGTAAACAGCAAATATGTGGCCGGTTCACAAACCGTGGAACAAGAAGGAGCGATCAGCGTGTAGGAAGGCAGGTAGGCAGGCCGACCCCAGCTCACGCGTTGCACTACATGCGAATGCACTCAAGCCAGCATTCGAACAGTCAGTCAATCGATCAATCAATCAATTTGGCAACAGGCATGTGTAAACACAAATCAATCAGCTGTAGGCCATAACAAACCCTTGGCTCTAATTTCCATTGGGTTACAAATCTCTCCCCATTCAGCATTAATCATTTTCAGTTCCGTTATTACTTTCTTACTTCTTCTCTTTTCCTAAAGCTGGTATCTGCGTCTATATCCATCATTCTATCACTTCTTCCCGACTTTCGCACCTAAATTTCTCCAACCGTGAATTTCAGCTAATGCGAGTGAAGCTTCGGTTCCCTCCTTTCAATCGCCACTTTTTTGCTGTTTACCGTTCCCTGAGCAGCAGCGATCTTTCTTTTTTTTGTTATTCTTTCTTTCCATATTGAGGCATTAATGATGGCAGATCCTAACAGCCAAGATACCATTGTCGGGCATTTCAATGTCCACCAGGATGAATGGCTGAAAGGCTCCTCAGACACTACGTTCATGCGACGCGAAGCCGAGGCTTTCGCTGTGGTCAACAACTTAAACCAACTAGTTGACCTCCCCACACGCGTCGCTGATCGTATTGGTGACCGCGCCCACACCCTTGATCTCATTCTCAAATCCATCTTCACTTATTGATCCAACTTCAATTACCTTAAGCAAACCATTGTCTTAAATCCTTTCTCACTCATTTCTATCACCCCATTTCACCAATAAACTCCAGATGCAACGTTTGGTGTTACAATTCAGCCAAACAAGACGGGTAACGTGAATTTATGGCCAGTTATCCTTGGAAAGGATTGTTGTTTCAAATCAGACTTTTTAACTTCGGTTTCAAACATTAAACAAATTGTTCTTCAACGTATGTAAGGGTACATTCCACACTTTTCCGAACCCGGCAAACCACGATCCCCTTTTTGTTTTATTCGTAGTTAAAACTGTGCCATACGTTTTGAAAACTCAGAAATACATCGCCGGCGCCACTCGCTCAATTCAGCATCTGGCAACCGCTTCATGCAAGGCAGAAACAAATGGTCGATCACCATACGAAACGCTTCATTTATCACAAAGCTGCTTGTTTCACATTTTACTCCACCGGTAAACAAATATTCCGGTTCCTCGCACAAAGCGGTTTCACGTACTTTCCGGCCTTCCAACTTCTCCCCTTCTACTCTAGTATTCATTTTGTGGACCCCAAGGAAAATCAGGTCTTTGCTTCCCGGTTTCCCTCAAATTCTATCCTATCTACTGGCTCTCCTCCCATACATCCAGCCACTTCTTCCTTCATTTTATAACAACCAGAAATATCCGCTAAACCAATCGTGGTTTGGATGAATTTAAAACCATCCGGTCGGGACAAAATTCCATCCATCGTTCTAAGAATGTATGCCTCGGAGCTAGTCTCTATTCTACTCTGCCTTTTATGTTCTTCACTTGATCTCAGCTCTTTACCCACTCCATGAAAAAATGTCATTATTTTGCCAAGCGTAGTGGCCCTATTAACCCCAGATACTATCGTCCCATCCCTCTGATGTCTGTAATTTAGAAGAGTGTTTGAATTTATGAACTCCAACCAGCCGTGTGTTTCTCGAACGCGATGATTTGTTGAATGACCGTCAATATGGATTTCACCCTCGTCAATCTACGAGTGACAGACAGGTTTTCACATCACATTTCCGGTCAACTGAGTTCGATTACCACGGAGAAGCTTACATGGTCTCGCTCTAAGTCTCAAATATCATCGACCACGTTCGGCATAAAGGTCTGCTGTCAAAATTACACACGTTCGTATTCCACCTGTCTCTCGTATTGTGGCTCTAGTGTTTCTTCAGCAAGTGAACCATCCTCGTCCGAGTAGATTGGGTCTTATCTCGGTCATTCCCTGTAAACGCCGGTGTTCACTAGTGTTCCATATTCTGTGAGAAAATGTATTAGAAAATTTGACCCATAGATATGCAAATAATGATTTCCAAGCATCTAAGCAACTTGTTCACTTGCTCCTTCCTACTCGTAGTTTTATTTTGTTTTTCTTCCATCTTATTTTGGGGGTGATTGCATAATGGAGGACGATTAAATTCGAACTTCTGAGATAGAAGAATGAGGAAGGTATAGGGCGTTTTGATGTTCAGGGACCTAGAGCCGTGAGACGGTCACACACAGCGCTTGCATACCACTGCGGTACAGCTATTCCCAGCAATGCTATTGTCATCAAAACTGCAGAGCGCGTAACAGTGTGCATTCCTCTTTACTGTTCCAAGTGCATCCATAGGCAGTTGACTGCTCGTGTACTGAGAAAGTTAATCTCACTTCATTCTAGCTGATAGGGTGTTGTGCTGAAAGGAGAAGACCAATAAACTGTACAGCGGTTTTGATCCCGATTACTCGGCCAAGGTCGTAGAATGCGTGAAAATCCAGTTGTCTCGATGTCAACAAAAGTGCCATTTCGAGTTGTCCATTTGATACGTGTTCAGTTTTAAAATCAAAATTAAAACAAACAGGAAGTCAAACACTTCCGAATCGCCCATTTTTAAGGTTAAGTTGTAATTTCCGGTCCGATTATCTCTCAAGTTCATGCTGAGACGCAGATAGAGGCTGACGAGGTAATGCCATTGTATAATTCAGTTTGTTTTATCTATAAATGTGTTTCTCTCGCTCTTTCCGTCCCAAACCTCACAACGTACTATGTTTTGCTAACACCAATGGATCATGGTTGAACAGCTTGTACCATTGTTATTTGTATTCAAAAAATGTGATCCCAGTGGTCTTCGGAGTTTGCAATTCGCCTCTTCTTTGTCACTACACAAACAAACGTTATCCCTATCCAACCTGCTGCATTGGAAGGAACAATGGAGAAAAAAGTATATCACGCCTGGCACAATACAAACGTAATTTTATAAACAATTTTACATTCCAAAAAATGAATTTTATTCAGAATCACAGTTTCCTCAGCATGCGAACTCGTGCACAAAGCTGACATAATAAATTTCTGTTGGGCTACTATTCCACTGTATTTGCGCAAAATAGCAGGCTAGTGAGATGTGCCTACATATGCTAAATATGAGCGAGACGTAGAGATTTATTGTCAAACATTTCCCCCCAGACAAATGTGAAAAGTATAAACAGTTGTTTGTTATCGTCCTCGCGCATTAATCACGTCTCGCATGCAAAAAAACTAGTCTCATTGTGGCAATAGAACTGCCGCCTCAGACGTGGAAAGCGACGTCTGAGTGTTCGTACTTGGTCATTGCGGAGGGCACACCACAATAGGGACTGCGCCGCTCGAATTTCGGTTACGCACGACAGAACTGAAAACGATAAAAAGAACTTTTTTCTCTTCATCACATGGAATCAAGACACAACTAGACTTATTGTTCAAGTTACATTTGAATAACAGGCTCTCGGGTGACAAATCTGCGATTCTTTAGCATACGGATCCACTCAATTGATAGCAACAGCTACGTGCGACCAGTTTGGGCTGTGCAACAATGGGCTCAATAGGATGACCTTATTGTTATCAAAACCTACTGAAGTTAAAAATGAGACAGTATTGGTTTTCAATTTGCGTGCATGTGGTTTCATTGTTATGGAATAAATGATAAAGGAAGACATATTAGAGTTACTGGCAAACAATCTTATCCACACATTCACCCAGTAGACCAAAAAACCGTTTTAAGATAAAACAGACCAAACAGAACCAATCTATACCATCTATTTTACCCACCTGCAGTCATACAAATTACTTAATATCAAAGTAAAAGTAAAAAGTGATTAAGGTCGAACGGTGAATGAATAATCGGTACGCCATCACCATCGTTAAAAATATAAAGAACAATATGTTCTTGAGACATCACGTTACGCAGTGCAAGCAGCACGCACACGCATACACACAATGGTTTGTTAATCAAATGTGCATACTTCATAACTTCACGGAGTTAGAAAACGGTTGCCCAAGTAACGTGCAAGTGAACTGTACAACCACTTGTGCCAGTAGAAATAGGTTTCTGATACTAGAGAAAATCAGAGATGCGAATGCAGTTCCGATAACGTTTGCTCATTCTATCAGTGGGATTGATGAAAGCCAACAGCACAATTAAATACGTTGATAAAATATGGAAAAATTGGTTCTCACAGCTCGAGAAAGGTCATCTCCATTTCGAATATTCGCCGAGCTTGGCAATTAGTTTGTAAACGTTTCATCACCAGCCGAGGTGACATCATCAATGCTTGTGAAGTGGCAGTGTTCCGCTTGTACCCGTTCTTTTATATATGTGTTCTTCTCCACCGACTATTTTCGTCCCCTGTTCTCACAGTGCTCCACTCGGTTCGCCGTTGAACTGGTGCGAGGGATTGAAGGTGGGAGGGGAGGAGATTGTCCTTTCGTCATGATTGAAGTTTCGGTCCGTTCTCAGGTCACGGCGTGAGATTTTTGTTGCGTCACTTGGTCCTTGAGTTGCATTGGCATGTACACGTGATCTAGTTCGATGTGCCTGTTGATTGAGTTGATCGAAGAGTACCAGGCCTGGAGAAACTCTCAGGCGTGTTTAGACCGGTCTTGGTCGATAATTCTCACTGATTCGAAGTCAAATTGATGTCCTTATTGATATTCGTGGAGGGAGATCAACGACAGTGGGTTGTCTCCTGACTGCCGATTGGTGTTCACGGATCCTTGTTGGCAGTCTTCTCCCAGTTTGTCCGATATGGTGATTTTAACAGTTCTTGCAGTTTATTTTGTAGATGACGCTGTTCTTGTCCTTCTCCATTGTTCTCTCTTTTGGTTATGACGTGCTATCAAAGTGTGAGGACAAAGCACTAGAAACATTGAAGATGGACACAAATATTGTCATCGTACCAGCACATATTGAACGAAACAATGTGGTTATGGAAAAAGCTGACTACATTCAAAAAGCTGAGGAACTACTCCAAGACAGACACCTACCTCGGCTGGTGATGAAACGTTTACAAACTAATTGCCAAGCTCGGTGAATAGGCGAAATTGAACTGAGATGTGTGCTTGAAGGACCAGAATATAAGGCCATATTAGTTTGTTAGTAGACCCTTGAAAAATGCACGGTAAAAATTGTATGGGGGCACTTAACCAATTAATAGGTCACCGTATAGCGGTACAGAAAAATGTGAAACAGGATACATGAACCATTATCACATTGGGTTCTTGTGACAACTGTGATAATGTAACCTCACCAAACACAATCACCGTGAGTTGGGTTTGTAAGTAGGTGTTCTGACAATCGCGATGTCGTAAATATCCAGTTTGGTTTCAAGCAGTTAGTCCTTTTTATGACTCTCATTGCACAAATGATTTAGAATCTATACTGTAAGTTACACTAGTTAGGCCAGATTTAGGTAAGATAACATGATTATTGTTTGGACACTGTAGCGGTACCTTCAGCAATGAATGTGTCCTAGCCTATGTCCAGATCGCTGATAAAATGACAGCCACCTACAGGGTCAAGCTTGAATAAATGAGCACCGGAACATCGAATACGTGTTCGCAAACGTCAAAAGAGATGTCTCATGCATGTAGTCAATTTCCGAACCTCCTGATCAGAAACAGAATAGCCTCCAGCACAGCTTTTGTTTCCACTGAAGCATCGAGCAGTGAGTTTATGGCTCGTCGAGTG